TACCAACAATATTGTGGAATATTGTGACGAAATATTAAAAACAAGTGTGCGACACCATGATGATTAGCTGAGGTGAGTATACTTTTTGAATCACACTATGATGGTATTTTAATCTCTTCTTTGTTCAAGGCTTATAGACCATATTTAACTTTGGAGTATCATAATATCCCTAGAACTGTATTAAATAAAATTTCAACTAAATGGTTAAAGCATAATCATAGACCATAATTTATCTGAGTACTTCAAACCCAATTTGAATCTCTCCCAAAAAAAATTAAAGAGAGCAGCTAGCCTTTAATGATCGACGTGCTTGAAGGCGCATTATGAATAAGTCCGGCCTTCCTGATTATATCAGAGTAAATAAAATTAGAAGGGATAGTTCTACCTAATTTAAACTTAATTGACCTAATCTAAGATTCAATTCCGCATGACAAGGCACCCTCCCTTTTGTAATTATGTCACCATCCAAAGGTGAGAATTTTTCTCTCTAAAAAAAATCATAACGGAGAAAGGCAGAGTGAAAGTAAACGCACACAATCAATTCCAGTTCTGTTATACCAGACAGATAACCAGTGAGTCCTGTTTCTTTATCATCCCAATGCCCAAGTTCGACACTCCTTTTGCCTTGAAACTTCATAAATAACCTTGTTAGTTATGAGTATTTATGTCATCTGGCGAAAGTAAATAATAAATACTAAAACCCTAAAGCATGCTGAAGTATCACGGAATCCTTTTCTTAATAAGCACAATAAATAACAGAAATATGATAAAAGACTATTTCCAATATTATATAACTAATAATTTATCACAAAGTAAAAATCCTCTAAAATTATAAATTAGAAATTAAAATTAAAATTAGAACAATAAATAATAATATCGTAAGATAACTGGAGCGAAAAAACACAAGGAAGTTAATGGCGAAATGAGCCTGACCGTTAATAGAAAAATATTCCACAAAAAAATATTCAAAAATATTCCAAGTGAAATAATTTGGATATCATACTAAACTAGAACTATAAAAAAGTGGTTTAAAAAAAATAAAGTACCGAAAATAAGCAAACAGGAAAATACAGTAAATTGGTCGGTTCCGATCACTTTGTTCTGCCTATCCAGAGTTATTCTGCCAGACGCGTTTCGGTTTCTCGCCTTCTTCAGTTATGAGTAGAGTTATGACCAAAGTTAGAGGTTCATATACTATCCTAAAGTCCACCAATGTCCAGTTTTTTCTGTTAGTGGTGGGTTTGTCTCTCCCTGCTTATAACCCTAACCCACTGGAGATGGCCAGGTACCTTAACGAATCTGCAATAACAAAACAGCTAGGGCAGGAAGACTAGATTGATCGGAAACGACTAAAGTTTAGGTTCATCATCCTACAGACTTCAAGAGGAAATCTCTCTTTATTTTTGACCGCTAGACGCGTATAGTGTTAAGCAATAAAACACATTATTACTATCCAAAAGTTTGTCTCTCCCTTCTTATATCCCTGACCACCACTGTAGATGACCGGGACCGAAACGAATCTAAAATAACAAAACATCAAGGACAGGAAGACCGTAATAATCGGTCATAATAACGTCTAAACTGTAGGTTCATCATCCAGTAGACCTCAAGAAAAAATCTCTCCACAATACATTAACCGCTAATATAACCAAGCAGCGAAGATGAGAGCAAAATTCTAAACTGTGTCAGACATCGAGGCTCGTGAAGTTTTTGAAAGGAAGCAGAAAGAGTACAGTGCATCTTCAAGGACCAAGGGAAAAGTATATGAGTCTATGCAATCCGTCATATCTCGGAAGGGCGTTGTTGTGTAGGGTGTTGTACTCAGAAAGCCCATCGGTTGGAAACAATAGTGTCTCCCTTACCACCAGGTATGACAAATTTATTTGTATGAAGATACCTTGGTACCTTGTAACAGAGAATAGATGACCTCATAAAGATTTTGAGCAGGTACATTTCTACCAACCCCCATAGTATAATTTTGGGTAGGGTAGAAGAGGATGTCTATGCCAAAGGATAATACACAAATCTAAAGTCCATTTTCGCTTATTTTTATTACGTAATGTTCTTCAAGATCATAAATGTCCCTTATTGTTCTGCACGGAAATAGCCACAGTTTAACAAAAACTAAGTAGTAAAGGAGTCTGAACGGACAAGATTTAACTGTTTAAGAGATGAAATGAGAATAGAAAGAGTTATTACGTAGGGGAAAAAACCGGCAGAGTAGCCACTTCCCCTGCGCAAAAGGTCGAGATCGTTTCGTGTAATAGTCACAAATGAAGCATCAAACTTTTGCCCACGGTCCATTTAATCCCGGCCCTCCTCTACCACATGGCTTGATACGCAAACACGGCCAAGTTTATTGCAGTTATTATCTCTACGAGGTCTGTTAAGTACTTGCAGTAATGTTGTCCTGTTAATTAACTCGGCAACAACGCGATCGACCGGACTGTTATGTTCGGAACAGGAAGACGAGGCTGATTCTGGCACATGATTGAGGGCCTTCGAACTTTCCCGGTGAAAAAAAAAATTAAATTGAAAATCGGAACTGGAAATGAAGAAAGAACAAAAAACAAAAAGAAAATCAATATGAGCAAACAGTTATCAATTTTTAACATGTTTTCCATTGTCTTTTACATTAAAAAACAATATACTTTTGTACAACAAAATTTATATAATTTCCGAATGTTACCAATTAAAAATGGTCGATAATCGTATATTCACGAAAAATAATTTACATTTTAATTGTTTTATTATTTTTTATGCAAAATACTTGAGTTGAAAATTAGTGCCACGAGCGTGACTCGAATCCAAGGTTTTTCAAATAGTTTACATTATTATATTAACTAGTAAATAAAAAAGTAGATTTAGGTTAATATTTTTTTTATCTGAGTTTATAATGAATCCTTGATTTCTGAGGCGGAGGTCAAAGTCGAAAAAATGCTATAAAATAATATGTTGAATATTCATAGTACTAATAATCTAGCGTATTAGCATTGCCGACTTGGTGAGCAATTGATAATCAGTAAATTAAGATGAGACCTTAGAAATTTTCCAAAAAATTTAAATTGGGCCGGTTTACCTACAAACCGTGCCAAGTCTTTTGACATATTCCGTTAGATTGGCACTGACGCCATGGACATACTAAGAAGCCGTAGAAAACTTCTTTTTTTTTCTCTCTCTCTCTCTCTCTCTCTCTCTCTCTTCGGAAAAGCCGCGTCGGGAATGTCAAATGAATCACTTTCACTTTCCTTGTGACATTGCAAGAGACCAGGCGGCTCTGACCTAGATTGGTTTCAGCCGTTTATGTAACAGCCTCTGACTGGATCATCTCATCACGTACGGTTTAAATTTCTGAGGGGCTGGCGAGGATTTTTTCCCCTCTCTCGTTTAAGTCAACAACACTATCGACGATCGAACGGGACCTTTGACTCGTTCAAGTATTTGCACAAGTGTTATTTCAAGTATCTCATGGAAAAAAAATCTACCTGCTCAAATTAAGTGTCTGCTGTCGTCATTTCCAATCATTTGGTACGGCTATTCTACCTATTTTGGCATTTCGTCATCCTCAGCCATCTAAACTACTCCGTTTTCCTGTTTAGATCAACAATAACCAACTAAACACGAATAGATTGAGAGATTTTTTACGATGGGTCTTAGGTCGTTTCCGATCATTGCCAATCCTCAGTGTTTTGGTTTTCCTGGTATGATCTGTCAACAACTCACTTAGGGATAGTTTAGAGGGCTTCATATTCACGGGAATATTTCTAACCGGTTTCCTTAGAGAAAGGTGAATGCTACCTCCTTCTTTTGCCTCCTTCAATACTCCTGAATTCCACTCCCAATACTTGCAAGAGTGTTTAGGAGCAAAATAAAGGTGCAGCTCAGAGAATGTGGCGAAACCTCTAAATCACAAGACAAAAGAAATCGTCCGTGGACGCACAGCGGGTGCGCGATCAGTCTCAAAGTTGGATCAGTGAACCAAATCGTGCCTGAAATGACGGGGAACGGACGAGCGCAAGCAAATTCCAAGCCTACAACTTGCTACTCGGTTTTGATTCTTTGAGGTTCGATGGTGAGACTACTAATGGGTACTTAGGCTGTTGGTCATTGTCATGGGAACAGATGTGCTCCCCTAGGGGTGATTATTATTTAATTTAAATCGAAAGCCTACTCGGGGGTGATGGAATGGCCAATCCATCTCGGGAGTACGTCTAGAGTACGAGTAGAACTTGTTTCAGCCCTTTGAGCTTGGTGAGGCGCTCAATGATCCTTGGGGATTGGGACGTTTTTCAAAATGTGAACTTATGAGAAGAGCATCATTCTCTCGTAAGCCTCAAACCTTGTTATAAATAAAGCACTGATAAAGCCATGTGTCAGATAAGTTAGATCCTAGATAAGTAAAATCCTCGTTAACTTAATAAAGGCAATGCGAACCCAAATGGAAATAAAAATAATGTCTACAACTCACTGAAGATGGCATCTCATAGTCTAATAAACCAAAACAGCAGAGATACCAAATTAAAACGAAAACTATCAAACAATGGGGGCATGTGCAGTCCCACTTGTAAATACGTACAATTCCTTTCGAGTAGTATTGTTATTACTTTGGATAGTATTGGTGAGAGGGATTCTTTGAATCTTTGACGGTTTTATTATTTGCTTGGTATAATCTATTCTAACACGTTCCATTATGAGAATCTAAGCCAGCATAACTTATTCATGTGGACAATGCTTTGATAAGCATGATAAAAACGTGCTTCATCGAAAACAAAGTATTGTAACAAAACTTTTAACTCATTCATTTACTATAAGTGATGTCATTGGATAGTAACATTCCTGGACGGTTTGAGTTCTCAGATGACGTTCTTTTTGAAGAAAAAATAACAAAATAAATCGGACTTCTATCAGGGGACGATTCGGATGAATTTTGTGAAAGGCGAAGAGAATATTTCTTTCCTTATGAATAATTCAAATACACGCAAAAAAGAATCTTCGCTTACCTGTCCGAGATTGGAGAATCCGTGCTTGGATGCGATGTTGTCTGCGTGTTCTGCTCCGTCTGGGATGTGTACCGCGAACTGATTCATGTAAAATGTGTTTCCGTCCCTCCTCGGGGAGACCGAGTGGACTAGACATGATCCCAGGAGGGCGAAAATCGGTAGAAATCGCATCGTACTTTATTGTTGCCGGAGGGCCGTGAAAGGAAGTGCCGCCCTGGAACAGACAATACTTCTTGAGCCGCTACAAACACTAATTATCTCCTGATGATAGCACAGTTCGCAGAACACAAAGCTCGGCTTGACTTAATCTAACACATTAATAAAACAACTACTGATTTTAGTGAAGTAAATACACTAACAACTACGCAACACATGCTAAAGATGAAAATGAACACTTATATGATTACCATGTGATACGAAATAATTAAAAATGTCAACACTGTAAGATAGGATAATTCCTGCTTAAGCATTCATGACGAAGAACGTTAAACAGCCGAGCTATAACGGATTGTTTAACAACATAAATGTAATATTTCTCGGTAGTTTATCTAAGACATGGTTAAAAGTAACGTTGACACAAGGTAAACAATAATTCTGGAATGTTTGGCAGCAAGTAAGACCTGGTTAATGGTATATTACGTCATCCAGAAAGCAAACATTATTCGAGTAGTAACACATTAAATTTAAAAATTTCTTACTGACTCTGATCCTTAACGACAATCGAAAAGGTATCATTGTCAATTCCGATCATTTGCACTCAATCACCATTGATGATGGCTAATAGCCTAAACGCATTTGACATACCAAAATGAAACAACCGTATATTTTCTATATTCTGAGATTTCCGCTAAGGTCTTTTGCGACGATGCGGGTAGCAACTTGGTTTGATCAATTTGGCCAGCATGACGCTCCTTTGGTCAGTCATACGCATTTCGACATCACGCCTTATTTCATAGAGGATTAAGGATATAAGTAGGGAGAGAGACAAACTAACCACTAACTGAAGCAAATCGATATTGTCGTAAATTTCTGACTGTACGTGAACCTGTACCTTTGGTGATCATGCACAACTGAAGATGGCGAGAATCCGAACGCTTCTGACAGACCAAAAGTCCATGGATGGTAGACTAACACGAATAGAAACGACCAAGTTGGAGGATCATCATACCGCAGACGTTAAAGTCTAACTGAAGCGTACTGCGAAAATAAACGTACCAGCATAAGTGACTATCTAATCCCAGAAAAAATTTTCATTGTTATAAGCTCATTTACTCGTTCAATTTCTATTGATTACACGACCTAAATAATTTCTTAAATGAGACGTGGGTTTTATATACAGAATATTCTAAGGCTTTGGTGAAAACTTTTCTTCTTCCATTTCTACACGTTTTTTCTTCTTTTTTTCGATTTCAACATTTATATAGTGAGATTTTGTTAGATTTATCATTGAGGGATGTACGCAATTTATCGGCTCCGATCATCTTGGTCCGCCTAGCCTAGCTGGTTCGTATGACAAGCGAAAATTGGCGATCTTATTCAATGGTTTTCTTATGCTTAAACAAGTGGTTGACGAAACTTTAAAAAACAATTATCAAAAAATGATGAGCCATTAATTAGGAAAACAGACGAAAAGATGATATCAGGGTTATAAGAAGAGCGAGGCACTCTTATTCATTACTTTTCTATTGATTTGATTTTCAGTGGAAGTTACTTTTATTTTTTTAATCATAAACGTTAACAAAAGCAGGAAATATTGACATTTATTTCCCCTGCAATATCTTACAAACAAAAACTATTTTACCGCGTAAAGCAGAGCAAGTGTGAAATACGAACGGGGCTCTGGGTCAACCGTTTTTACTTTTATTTATTTTTTTGTATGACACCCGAAAATAATCTAGGAAAAACCTGTTGAGAGCAGAGGAAAATTTATCGGCGATAATTCAACACTGGGGTGGACAGGTAGTAACTCATCTCTATCAGGGGAAAGCATTGGAATTTACCGTTTACAAATTTTTAATTACATCTTTTCCGCCGTCCAAAAATAGTTCAATAACCAAATCTTGCAAAAAAATTCTGTTTAATTCCGTTAAGGAATTAGTTGATATCGTGCGTATCAAATTAACAGAACGATCCAGATGGTACAGCAATAGAGAAAAACTAATGATGATTTTTCTTTTTTTTTATACGAAACAATAAACATAAAAACAATGTTACAACAAAAGAAATAACGTTAAGGAAGCCCAAAAATGCAAGAATACATTTTTTTCTGGGGATTTTACGACGTGACTTAGCTAAAGAACATTAGAAACTCGAATCAAAGATTGGTTATAGCTGTATGTATATACGCAATTTATGTTAACTATGCGACAACATATCAAGGCTTTGCGCAAGACAACTTGAACATGCAAGTGTAATTTTGACCTTCTGTGTCAATGTGCACATCATTAGCGTTTAGGGTATAAAACTATCCGCACTACAAAGCACAATCACTTGTTAATTTGCCTTCTAAACAGAGATTTGTATGTCCCACACTAAAACAAATTTGGAAAGCCAATTTTTATATGTCTTATCTTTATGTATACAAAGATAAGAATAGCGAGAATGGAAGACTCGGAAAACTTCCTTGTGTCCTTAGAACGACGTATCGGAGGTTGAAATAAACCATTGAAATAGACTGTAAGAGACTGATAGTAAAGGTGAAATGGTGGATTTAGTTTCGTTAATTATTATTCTCCATTTGCGAGACCAAGACTAAGCGAAGGAAGGATGATACACATTTGATGATTAGATGATACAACATCACCAAAAGAGCATACAACATTGTTAGGAGAAAAGGAATGACGGCTGTATATATTTCAAGCTCACTGCCCAGGAGAAATGATAATATAAGAAGAAAAGACACTCCCTTGAGAGATGCGGCAGTTTGCCAGATAAGATTTAACCCTTTATGGCCTAATGTTGTCATAGACCAAGACGAATTTAGTAATTTTGTTAAAAGCTCAGCGGGAAGCCCATGAGTTTAGTGATAGTTTAGAATCGCGCCAAATAAATCAGTGTTGCCAAGACATGGTAGAAACAGAGCAGGAACAATACTGCGCCCGCCCTAAACTCACGAGATTTCCAACAAAATCGCAACAGTTGGCACAGCTATGAAGCAACTTAGAGCAAGAAAGGGTTAAATTATAAAATGTATATAATTTCTTTTTTAATATAACAATTGATACAAAATGCATGTGGGGTGAAGAGCCATGCTGAAGATAGAAGATTCCAAGATGGAGATTTTAGTTTGGCACCAAAAAAATCAGTGTTGCCAATATACGGGATGAAGGGAAAACACTGCACCGCCCAAAACTCACGGGATTTCTTGCTACTTTAAACAAAATTCCTAAAGCTGGCATTGCTCTGAAGCAACTTTGAGCAAAAAAGGGTTAAGTATTAAAAGGTATGTGAAAGGAAGTAGCTTCCACAGCAAACCAGGGTTACCCGATCGAAAACTAGATCCAAATCGAGAAAGGTCATCCCTTTCAAATAATTTAGAGCAACCGATGATATAGTATTGCAGTATGAACAAAATACTTTTTGTTTTTCCCCTTTTTTTTAGATAAATAATTGAAGATTTCAAAACTAACGTGTTGTATAAATTTTACAACTGCTAATTCTCACTTTTCAATTATTTGTTCACCAAAATTCAAGGCAAGCCAGTCTACTTTCTGATGATGGGGTTATGACAAGTATAATATAATAATATACTCAAACAAAAAAAATTAACAATCAGCGAAGGTTTTAACAATTTTTAATCCTTTTGTTTAATTTTTTAATTTAAGGACGAGATAATTAAAAGTCCTGAAATTCATAACTAGAACAACCTTGAGGAGTCAAATATTTAAAAAAATTTGACCTGAAACTAACATTTCGTCAAAGGTCATGATATTTGTTAGACACATGTCTACATTTATATAATTTTACACATGCTACTCTCTATAATTTGTGAACTTTTATTTACAATTTAAAAAAATTTGCAGAACATGTTTTTAAGTTTCTAAGTATCACTTTGATTAAGGATATTATAAAAACTAATAATTTCATAACTCGAGTTTATAAAGTATAAATCGAAATATCTGCTTCAGTTATCAACTAATGACATAAATTCTTCAAAAATCGACTTCCCGTTATATTTAAACATTTGTTTTGGAGAATAGCGATTAAGTTTTTCCAGTATGAGTTCCGAGGAGGTCCGAAGTGCCCGTACTTACTCTCGAGGCCGCTCCCGTCTCGAGCCTTTCTTCCCATTTACGCCTATTTACCTTATAAGTTGTTATTCACTTGGATATTATTTATAAAATAAGCACAGGGCACGGACTCGACCTCCTTTTTTCCACCGATGTTTTCAGAATTCCATAAGAAATCAAAACACGCCCTAAAAACTTTTTTGGCGGATTTTGACGATATATTAACAAATGGCCAATAAATAACACAAATGCAATATCTTATGCGATCTGTTATATCCCAAAAAACACTAAAAGTTCGAAAAGTAAGATGAAAACGATTATTATATATATTTTTACACGCATGAATAGCAGCAGGAATTTAAAGAAAACAGGACCCAATTATCCACCTTTGCCTTCCGATTTTCGAAACAAACAACATATTGCTTGTTAGTACTTACAAAGTCTTTATTTTAAAGCACGTGTCAAAAACTGACTTCAAAAGAAGTTTTAACCTGAGAAACTTCAATGTGTTAAAAAAAATCATCGACATACAGCGAGTTGTGTTTTTAAAGTACATTGGAAACTTTGCCGAGAGTAAGCTTATAAGACGTGATACTGAATAAACACGTAAAATGATTGTTACAAATTTCCTGTATAGTTTTTTTAATTTAATTATGTAAAACTTCGTTACTCCTTCATCCTAAACTTCTTAGCAATTCAATTTCAAATATTCCTTAAGATCGACGGAAAATATTAATTTAATAATAAAGGTTCCAAGTTAATCAAATTTTCGGGCCACCTACCTTTTTTATTAAAAAAATCCAATGAAAAGCCTTTTTTTAACTATGACTACAAAAGCGTTGTTTTTGTTCATTACATAATTGAACATAATGGACTTGCTTGTTTTCTTGGCTGTCTCAACTTTTAATTTTTTTTTATTATAAACACGATTAAATCCTAATCAAATGCACTTTTCTTCATAATAACAGCCCTAACAATAGTTTTG